TTTCATGACTACTTGGAAAAGTTTGTCATCGTGTACCTTGATGACATACTTATGCTCAGTAGGACCGTCGAGGAGCACGTTGGTCATTTAGACAAAGTCCTTAGTCTCCTTCGGCAGCACAAGTTCAAGATCAACGGCGAGAAGTACAAGTTTGGCCGCACCGGTATCTTGTATTTGGGTCATGAGATTTCCGCAGGGGGATCGAAGCCCAATGATGCGAAGGTGGCCAACATTCGTGACTGGCCGCGTCCTCAGTTTGTGACTGAGATGAGGTCCTTCTTAGGGATGACCAGCTAATACCGCAATTTTGTGAAGAACTATAGCATAGTTGTCGCCCCTTCGACGGACCTGACCCACCTTGACACCCCATGGGAGTGGACAAACAAGTGTGAGGCTGCCTTCAGACATCTGAAGCACGTGTTGACGCACCATGAGGTCTTGAAGCTTCCTGATTCTGACACGCAGTTTATAGTAACCACAGATGCTAGCCAATATGGCATAGGCGCCGTGCTCGCGCAACAGGAGGGGCCAAAGTTGAGGCCTGTCGAGTACATGTCCAAAAAGATGCCCTTTCAAAAGTTGGTTGGCTAAGTCCACCTATGAGAAGAAGCTCTATGCGATCTGTAAGGCGCTAACCCGCTGGACGCACTACCTCCTTGGGAGGTTCTTCTACGTCAAGACTGATCACCAGACACTGAAGTGGATGAGAACCCAGCCAATGCTCTCTGACGCATTGAAACGTTGGATCGAAGTCATTGAGCAGTACGACTTCGAGCCCCAGTACATTAAAGGAGAATACAATAAAGTTGTTGATGCATTGTCGCGTAGACCAGATTTTCTCGGTGCGCTGATTACTCAGTTTGGGCTTGCAGACAATGTTACTCGCTCTTTGGTGAAAGCCTATCGCAAAGATCCGTTTATGGCTGAAATCATACGCAGACTAGAGGCGAAGGACAAAACGACTCCTGCTGAGTTTGAGTTGGCCAACGGCCTACTGTTCCAGAAGACTGGGAAAAAACGTCTGTGTGTGCCTAACCGTGAGTCTTTGCGTAGTTTATTTTTGGGCGAGTGTCATGATGCCACATGACATTTTGGATATAGCAGTTCTGGTGGCCCACGATGACGAGAGATGCCAAGCTGTACGTGGAGCTTGTCAGGTATGTCATAGGGACAAGCCACATACACGGGCCCCTCTTGGGCTTCTTAAGCCCCTTCCGATTCCAGTAGGCTTGGGGAGAACCTGTCCATGGACTTCATGGACACACTGGTCACCAGCAAGAGTGGAATGAGACATATCTTTGTCATTGTGGATAGATTTAGCATGTGCGCTAGATTAGTTGCGATGCCTGAAACAGCAAAGACCGAGTACGTCATTAAGATGTTCAAGGAGAACTGGGTCAGAGACTTTGGGCTACCGAAGTCTATTGTGAGTGACCGGGATGTCAGATTCACCAGTGAGTTGTGGAAAGCTGCAGCTGCAGAACAAGGTACACAGCCACAGATGACATCCGGGAACCCCCCAGAGGCAAACAGGCAGTCAGAACAGCTGAACCGCGCTGTACAGCACCTGTTAAGGCACTACACCAAGCCCAACCAGGTGGATTGGGATGAGAAGCTTGCTCGCCAGCCTGTACAAAAATGCTGTGCACAGCGCAACAGGCGTAAGTCCAAACAGTTTGCTACTGACGTTCAAGCCTCGATTGCCTCTAGACTTTCTACTACCTGAGAATCAACCGACAGCTGCACCTGGTACATTGGAATTTGCATATCGATATGAACAGTTGATGCACCACGCTGTAGAACAGATGCACAAGGAGCAGGCGGCGATGATAGAATCTGAGAACAAGCACCACCGCCCATCTACATTCCAGGTAGGGGACAGAGTCTGGGTCAAGTCCTCAGAACTGGGACAAGAATCTGAGAACA